TTTTCCTTATTGTATCAAAAAAGCAGTTTCAAATGTACGATGGGATAAAGTTTATTTTAATAATCCATTATCGAAATTATCATTTGAAGTCATAATTAAGTTCTTTTCCAAACTTATACAATAACTGAACACCAAGGAATAAACTAAGATGTGAGCCTCTGTGTTATCATTTGTTCCAAAGTTCTCCAATGATGGAACAAAAACAAAATTGTCTACCCTTTCTGAAGCTAAGAACAATGCAATCATATCAGAAGCTGTTACTAATTCAAATACACTCAAAATATATACCTTTTCTATGGCTAAAAGCGCTACAATGATGTAGGACAAATTGGGTTGATTTATCCATTTAGGAATTCAGGGGTAAAAAACCTAGACATCGTACCTAGGGTTTCTTAGATGTCAATACCTCCACTTCCTAAGCCAAATGGCCAAATCAAACTACCCTGGATGAAAGATTCATTTTAAGCAACACCCAAGTAATTAAAAACCTAAAACTAAATACAAAATCAAAAATTTTAATAGCTGTCTCCTGATTACATGATTAGACTGGTGTCCCCTTATTTCTATTTCGCCAATAATAGAAAAACCTCACAACTTGCAAAGTAAAATAAACATTCAAACAGTTAACCATACAGCAAATCCCAGTTTTTACTTCAAAATCAACAACTAAATTCACAATCTAGTGATATTTAAAATTTAAAAGAAGAAGAAAAAGAAAAAAAAAACTAACCTCTTCGGCAGTAATGATCGCCTTGAGATGCTATATACACCCAGAAAAACACAAACAACCAAAAATCAATACTTAACAACCCAAAAAGAGGAAGAAAATAAAAATCAACAACCTAAAAGACCAAATAACATCAATACCTCCAAGTTCAAGACAATGGCCCTTTCACGACCCAGTATAGTAGAAGGGTAGGACAAGAGGGGGTCGAGGATGCGGAGATCACGGGCGTGGATCTGAACGCGGTGCATGATGGCATACTTGTCAACATCGAGGACGGTGCTCTGCCCTGTACAGTCCAAGAGGATCCAACTCCGCGATGACTGCACCTTATTCTTCACAGCAACCACTGCCTGTGGATCTGCCGGAACCACATACCCGTCTCGCGTCATCTCTGACCATCCCGCTTCCAACAATCACATCCCACTTATCCTTTTTACCGCATGTGCGACCCCTTAACACACGAGGCTCTCTCTATGGCTTTGTGGTATGGAGCCAAAAAGAGAGGCCAATAAGGGGACTGCATAAATGGAAGGTTTTCTATCACCTTTCTTTTGAATTACTAAAAATCCACTTATTTTTCAGAGTCTAAAAGCATATATATCATTTTTTAAAAATAAAAAAGCATATATATCATTGAAGTATAGAAATATCGACTGCTCAGAAAACAATGAAAAAAGATGCAGAAATATAGAATTTATAACAATTTAAGAATGAAACGGATCTTGCAATTGTTTCATGATTCTCAATTTGCCATGACGAACTTACTTCCTAACAGCGAACAAATCAGCATTCTAAGAAGCATATAACGTGAATTGATTCACACCGTTCAATGGTTTGACAATGAACGCTTTTCCTCTCTCTCTCTCCACTTAATGATTCTCACTTAAACCGTCAAACGATGCATATTAATTTTAAGATTTAGCGTCAATGTTGAAGAAAAAGCAAACTCTGAATAAAATAGTGAATTTGATGGAATATTAGATTTTTTTATACTGGGAGTATTAGCTTAGGATTTTGCAGAATTCTAAAAACAAGCACATAATCATCTCCAAGTTTAGTTAAAAGTCTACTAACAACTGGTAACCGAATGAATCCCCAATCCCAAACTGGAATTCGAAATTTAATAACGCAAGACCTAAACCCAGCAATTGTTCACCAATCAACCTAAAAACCCAAAGTTCCATAACTATACTTACCTAGACCGGAGCTACAGAGAAGGGCCGAATCGAGGATGTAAATAAGCTTCAATCGTCCATCTACTTGGTTCCCAAAAATGGGGAGAGAGAGAGAGATAACCGAGAAAGTGAAAGGAAATTCGCGAGAGCGGTAAAGAGAGCCGAAAAAGTGAAGATAAAGAAGGATTTGGCAAGAGAGACAGAGGCGAGATCGTCGGTTGGCAAGAATGGTGGTCGCGTTAGAATGGCGGGGT